AATCGCGAAGAATTATGAGATCGGTACATGATATGAAATGTGAGCTTAAAACTAACATTAGAAAAAGATCTGCCCTTGAAATAAAGAAAAATAGAGTCTGTGCTACATTACTCACAGCCCATGTTAAAATCCATGCACCCTGTACAAACAAAAGGTTACAACCAAACAAGGAGGCGTAGCTGCCTTTAACTCACTCACTTACCCTTTTAATTACTTGTTCTTCTGTAATGCTAAACTTGGATTTTGTGTACACCACAACTAACCATAGAATAGACAATAGGCAAAGCAACATAAGCTTTCGTTGTAAGTTCTATGAGAACAGGAATTTTTATCTGTCTTACTGACTGATGTATCCCAAATACTTCAAACAGTGCCTGGTACATAATAGGTATTGAATAAATATGTCTTGAAAGGATGAACTTGCCTCCATTTTCTGCCTTGAATAGATAAGCTACACTCTTTAGAACTTTGACTTTTCTTTATATCATTAACTTGCTTCTATGAAGAGAGGCAAACCAGAAGAATTTAACTAAAGGTAATCCTAGCAAAAGAGGTAGTTGGGGACGCCTGGGTGGCTCAGTTGGTTAAGCGACTGCCTTCGGCTCAGGTCATGATCCTGGAGTCCCGGAATCGAGTCCCGCATCGGGCTCCCTGCTCAGCAGGGGGTCTGCTTCTCCCTATGCCCTCTTCCCTCTCGTGCTCTCTGTCTCTCATTCTCTCTCTCTCAAATAAATAAATAAATAAATCTTTAAAAAAAAAAAAAAAAAAGAGGTAGTTGGGCTACTGCAAATGGCCAACACAAATGTTTGAAATCAGACACCTTAAAATAATCAGAGTTAGCAGTAACATTCGCTTCAGTATAAAATTACTAAATAAATAGGACGAACAAAGGAGCTAAAGAACTACTCTTTTCATGCTACTAAAGGGAATACTTCAAACAACATAAGAAAAAAATCTACATACAATTCATAAAATGGGATTAAAAACATAAAAAGAGCTATTAATAAACATGACTCTTGTATTTCCTCCTTTTAAAACTCAAAACAGTGTGGTCGGCCTCGTGCCCACATCAAAGGAACCCAACTAACTGAGAATAAGAGAGATGAAGGCTCAGTTCAATATCTCTCCTGGTGCCTAAGCACATTTTACAAAAATGTTCTTTGAACCAACAACAAACTTAGAAAACCAGAAACAGAACAGGAAGATAAACCCACAAGAGAAAACAACCATGACATCACCACACCCCCTTCCAGTTTTCTCCAAAACATTTTTCTTACCAGATGAACACAGAAAGTCAAAGAGCTCTATTTTTAAAGTGTGAGTCTTGATTGTGGCACAAAGAGATCAATGGGCAAACTCTTGTCTTCAGAAAAACATGAGCCTATAGCACACAAGGTGCAAGCTTAGAAAACAGCATGTCTGACAGAGGAAGCATCAAAATGAAAGGATGAATAAACCGGTGAACAAACGAATAAATGTCTCTAAGCGAGATTCCTAAGAGTAATTCACGAAGAAGTGACAATATATAAATTAGCTCATTGATTCTCAATATTCTTCTCATATAATATAAAACGATACAGCTATACATCTATAGAATTGTATAACTATATATAAATGCAAATATATTTAGTATACTTGGCATATATATCTAGAAAAGTGCTAGCCAGGTGGAAAGGGTTTGGGAGAATTTTGAGGAAAAGTGGGGGTGAGCCATAGCGTTACCTACCACACTGTGATGCAGAAAGAAGATTTTAAATGAAATTTTGCTCTGTGTTATCAGTGACACTCTCTTGCAGTTTCTTAAGAATTTGTAATAAGGATTTAGGGGCGCCTGGGTGGCTCAGTTGGTTAAGCGACTGCCTTCGGCTCAGGTCATGATCCTGGAGTTGATGGGGCGCCTGGGTGGCTCAGTTGGTTAAGCGACTGCCTTCGGCTCAGGTCATGATCCTGGAGTCCCGGAATCGAGTCCCGCATCGGGCTCCCTGCTCGGCAGGGAGTCTGCTTCGTCCTCTGACCCTCCCGCCTCTCATGTGCTCTCTGTCTCTCATTCTCTCTCTCTCAAATAAATAAATAAAATCTTTAAAAAAAAAAAAAAGAATTTGTAATAAGGATTTAAATCACTTTTCAGTTATTTCTAGATGTCACTTATTCATTCATTCTACAAACACCTATTGATAGAGGCAATTTCCTGACACTGCAATTACACTGGCAGCTTCGGTAAAGACAGACCTTTTGGCAGAAGCAAGGAAGTCCAGCTTTCTATAGGTCACAGCAACAACAACAATGACGACAAAAAGCAGATCCAGAAGAAGAAAACCATATCCCAGTACAGCTCCTTGTTCTACTCTTCGAGAACATCAACAGTTCAATTAGCTTTCTTGGCATGGCCTAGAAGCCTAACTATTACGTACGATACAGAAAATGTATTCGGAGTTGCGGTCAGCCAACAGATGAACTTGAATTCAGCTGTTCCAACTGAAGACTGCCTGTTCACTAGGCAACTTTTCCCCATAGCTAGTTGTGATGCTGTTTATTCTCTTCTAAAGGTTAAAGTAAAGCGTTACCAGGCCTCATGAATTTCCCATGAGTTGCGATTAAGCGCAACCAAATTCTGAGCACTGTTAGAAAAATGTCTTCAACCTAAATGAACCGGCATCAAAACTGCCAACAATAATAACCCACAGCTACTTCCATTATGAATTTGGTCTTTGCTTAAAAAAAAAAAAAATACCGTGATACTTCCCTCGATAATGACCCACATAAAGCGTTCTCCTTGATTAACAATGGCATTTGTCCTATAGCCCACGCCAGGAATGGAAGCCAGCAGAGCAGCAAGAGATCTCTTCTTTTTTCTTTTTTTTTTTAAAGATTTTATTTATTTATTTGACAGAGAAAGACACAGCGAGAGAGGGAACACAAACGGGGAGTGGGAGAGGGAGAAGCAGACTCCCCGCCGAGCAGGGAGCCCGATGCGGGACTCGATCCTGGGACTCCAGGATCATGACCTGAGCCGAAGGCAGCCGCTTAACCAACTGAGCCACCCAGGCGCCCAAGAGATCTCTTCTAAAAACAGAACACAGTACAGCTCATTCTTCAAGACCTTCCAGGGAAAACCAGACGATGAGCATGTTGATGTATTTTAAAAACAATCTACTAAATGCTTTTAGATCCTGTGTGCTGATAACTGGCTGACCTATATATTTTTGACAATGCTAGTGTCCTAGAGGGCCTGACAATTTGACAAGGAGGTTAGACGGATTTTGAAAAAACCAAGATAAGCAGACTAAATTTCCTAAAAAAAAAAAAAAGTATTTTCTTCTGATCTTTGAAACGTTAAAGGAGCCATGTCAGTGGATTATTTTGAGCAAGGAAAGTTCTGCCTTATTAAGACTGCCATTGTAAACAACTAGTCCCCCAGCCAGTCACACACATCAGATGCAAGTACACCTTCCAAGCAAGAAGCAATGACTCTCCATCTACTGGGGCTGGGTTAGAAGCCAAACTAACATGGTTAGATTTGCTGTGTAAATCATTGTTTGTTGCTAGCGAAAATGGTTGCTGCAGAGGGTATTGTGAAGATCCAATAAAGACAATGTACACAAAATACCTATATAGCACCTGACATTATCCTCATCACAACAGAAATGCATTCTACCTGTGCTCAGGTCAGGTGCTTTAAAGAAGAAATAAAATGTCAGAGATATCCTCACTCCTAGGTTCACAACAGCCAAGCTGTAAAAACAACTTAAATGTCCATCAACGGATGAATGGATAAAGAAAATGTGGTACATACATACAATGGAATAGTATTTGGCCTTAAAACAGAAGGAAATCCTGCAAAATGCAACAGTATGGATGAACCTGGAAGATACTGTGTTGAGTGAAAGAAGCCAGTAACAGAATCACAAATACTACATTATTCCATTTACATGAAGTCTCAAATAGTCAAAATCATAAAATCAAAGACAGTAATGGTTGCAAGAGGCTAGCTAGGAGGGAGAGATGGAAATTGCTACTCAGTGGGCATGAAGTTTCAGCTAAGCAAGATGAATAAGCTCTAGAGATTGGCTGTACATTACACCTGCAGACAACAATACTGCATTATATACTTAAAAATTTGTTAAGACGACAGAGCTCATGTTAAGTGTTCTTACTACAATGAAGTAAAATTTAATTAAATTTTTTTAAAAGAAGGAGAAATGTAAAAGAAAAAAAGTCATTGTGTGTTTATTTTTGCAGCACCATTTTGGGACCAGAACATCTCCAATATCTCAAAAGTATTACAATGTAATAATATATACTTGAAATTTTAGATTTTCCTGTAATAAACTATTTCAAACATTACTTTGTTAACAATAAACCAATAAGAAGGGGATGATAACCTCCTAAATTTTGATTATTTCTAAAAGACTCAGTTTATCCACTGGACTTCTTTGGCAGATATGCAATTGCTATATTAGAGAAGTAAAAGGAGCTTTGGGTATCATTTTAAAAACAAGGAAGCTAAGACCCCAAAACACTAGGGAATGCCAGACCTAGTACAAGAAAGGGATCTACTTTGGATGTCCACGCAATGCTCTTTGCACTAAATTATCTCTTAATACACTGAAATCATGGAAATCACCCTTAGATGGCAAGATCATACGAACCGAGTGAATGAACATTTGCAAAATAAATACTATCAGCCAGCTGTTTCTCATAATTTACTGCCTCTAATCCTCTCAAAACCTTGCAACACAGGAATTAATAGGGCTACTTTTAAGGTAAAGAGACTGAGGCCAATAAAGATTGTAAGACCAGTAGGAGACAAGGCTCGAACTCAGATCCGGGTCTCATGTAATCACAAAACCTTGGATCTTTACAATATACCTTGCTGCCTTCTGGCAAGTGAAGTGAGTCCTGCAACATCCCTGCTAATAAAAAAAATCACTTTGGCCAATTTTCTGGCTGTAAAGTGGAAGCTGTTGATTTCAGAGGAAAATTGTTCCAAGAGCACACACCTGTAGTGGAGTCGATGGTAAAAAGGGATGACAGGTCTCCCGGAATGAGCTCATAAGCCACTGTTCCGTATATCCCAGAATCCCTGTCAGTGGCAAGAACATTGATGATCTCGGTGCCTGGCTGGGTCTGGCCGCTAATGCTCATCACGTAGGTTGACGGGTTAAAGACAGGTTCATTATCATTCACATCCTCCATTTCCACACGAACAAAAGCTTGCGCGCTTAGTCCACCCTGTTGGATAAATGAGAAGTGATTACAAATGGATTTCTCCTGAACCCTGAGATGCAGAATCATTGACAAAGATCCTAGAATAGAATTTTAAAACAACAGAAAAGATAGATATTCATTTTACTTTTAACCGTGAGATATGAGTTCACATGTAATAGCATGGTATCCGTACTTCAGCACTGATATTTTTTTTTTTTAAGATTTTATTTATTTATTTGACATGCACAGAGAGAGAGTGCACAAACACGGGGGCGGGCAGGGAGAGGGAGAAGCAGGCTCCCCGCTGAGCAGAGAGCCCAATGTGGGGCTCTACGTGGGGCTCAATCCGAGGACCCTGGGATCATGACCTGAGCCGAAGGCAGACACTTAACCAACTGAGCCACCCAGGCACCCCATTCAGTGCTGATTCTTAAACATGAATGAGATTACCGCTTAAAACTCCTATGAAGCAATAATTCCACACTACAGGCCAAAGATATTCAAGGCAAGTTTTCCTGTTGTCCAAAGAGGAAAAACAAACAAACAAACAAACACCAAATACTTTTATCCCTAGGATAATTTTTAAGTGCTAAAGAGGAAGGGTAAGGAAATTTTGGAGGAAGACGTAATTTAGAAAAGATTGTCAGTCTTTACTCTCCTTAGAAGGCAGAGTAAAGACTGACCTATGTGAGGGAGCTAGACTTCAGTAATCTGGAGGAAAAGCATAACAGATAGAGGAAAGAGCAACTGCAAAGGCCCTGAGGCAGGAGTACAGCCAGGCGTGTCAGGGAACAGCAAGGAAGCCAATGGAGTGATGTCAGGATGGTAGGGGCAGGTCATGCGGAGTTCCATAGGCCTCTGAAAGGAGGACCTATTGGAGGGTTTTGAGCAGAAGAGAGGCTTGAATTGACTTAGATTTTAACTGTCACTCTAGCTACACCGTTCATAATAAACTGGAGGGCAGCAAGGGTGGAAAGAGGGAAACCAGTTAGGAGGCTACTGGAATCATCAAGTCTGGAGTGGATGGTGGCAGTGGAGGTACTGATCCTAAATATCTGGGGCCAGATTTGTTTTGGAATTCTGAATTATTCAAGTTTTAGAAAGGTAATAGAGGGCATAAAGCAGTAGTAGTAGTAGTGAGAAGTAGATCCCATACTGTTTATTCTGTGTTGCCTCCAGCTAAAAATCAGGAGAGGGGAGAGAATACAATAGAAGAAAATGATCCTCTGCAATTTTTACTTTTCTAAAGTAAAACATGTGTTCCTACTTTAAAGCACCATTTTCCATTTCTGTCTGGTACATTTGGATACTTTCATCTTTGACAAAAATCCTTGGTAAGTCACAACAGCCTGGGCTTTCTCACTCACTTCTCTCTCTCTTTCTGTCTCTCTCTTGTTCTCCCTCCCTCCCTCCCTCTCCCCCCTACAGTTCAGGGATGCACTGAGCAAAGAGGAAAGAGGATTCTGGAGAAGAAAGGTTTGGCAGGAGGCAAAGAGAGGCCTGTGTAAGAAGCACATGCTTAGAGTGAGGGAGGGCAGAGAGTATTGTTTGGGATAACAACAGACCTGGAAATGGTTCTCATGCTCTGAGGTCCCAAGTACCCTAGACATTGGGGACTAAAAAACAATGGGGAAATACAGCTTCAAAAATAGAGTGGTTTTCCATGTTCTGAGTTGAATAAAGAACCAGGGCCAGGTCTGTTAGCAACGAGAACAGGAGAAATGGGGGCTGGGGGCGACCGCGGTGAAAACAAGGAAGTGTCGTTTCACACACACACACACACACACACACACACACACCCCATGCTTACAGGGCAGCCTGGGGCTGTGTCTGCAGCAGGCCCGGATAGCCTGCATGTCCACAGTGGAGGGCAGCAAGAGGGGCTGCAGGCTGATGGTCAACAGACAGAGTACTGCAGGGCAACCGACAGAGACCCTGCTGTTTCTCCAACCTGCCTGCCTTCTCCCTTCTGTTTTCCTTTGACTTTTCCTTTCCCCTTCCTTTTGTATTTCTCCTTGGATTCCAGAAGTTACCTCAGTTTGAGGAGGGGATGAGAAAGCAGGTAAGAGAAGGGATGAGAAGTGGGGAAAACGTGAAGAAATGAGCATCACTCCACCTTAGGATCTTTAAAAACAAAAATGTTAATTCCTACGCTGTCCACGAAGATCCTCAATCAGGCAATGCTACCAAAAACAAGTAAAATGTTCGATGAACAAAGTGAAAAGCTTGTTCTCATAGAAGAGTGAATCCTTCTGCAGGGAAATTATTATAGCTCTCAGGTTTCCAGTTGTAGGAATTCAATTGGCATCTGTTGAATTCATCAGTTGGGTGCTTTCTTCTCATAATAACATTTGTGAATGTGTGTTGTGTATTTCGTGGATTTTCTCCTTCAATTGTTCTAATCCCCCTTTCTAAGACTTTTATAGTTTCTCTCATTTTTATAGATAAGAAAACCAAAGCACAGAGAAACTAAGTGACTTGCCCAAGGTAAATGAGAGTGTAAATTGCAGATCTAGAACTGGACCAGAGATTCATCTGTCCCCAAAGCCTCTGGTGACTTTTTTTAAATTAGACTTTTTAAAGTACTGTTATGGTATAAATTCTACCTTTCATGAAAGGCTTGTTTAAACACTATGCAAAAGGCAATGCCAACCATGGACTCAGTCTTAGAGGAAAAAAGGAAGGCAGAGTCCCTGTTGACAAGGGACTTACAATCTATGCGACTACGCGACAAACACTGTACAACTGGGTTTATGGCACCATGAAACAATCTGGAGCCAATGATCTGGGTCTAATGTCTGCGCTGCCTGCATCTGGGACCATAGACTGGAGAAAATCAGATAGTCCCTGAGTCTGGGCTACCTCTTCTGTAAAGCAGGGACCTGCTCACCTTGCAGGCTTGTTATTAGAAGGGGAGATATAATACGTATGCAAGCATTTATAATAGTTAATCCCTATCAATTATAAGATTTCACAGACCCCTTTTCCTAAATACCTGGGGCCAGATAGATTTGACTTGGACTGTTTCAAGTTTTAGAAAGGCAATAGAGTGCGTGTACCTAGTCGGGTCTGGGGCGGTACTGCGTAATCAAACACTTAATATTCTGCAGCAAAATGTATGAATAGACACATTTAGGGAGATTTTTTAAAACATGAATGGCCTCACGTTGGTTCAAATCAGGTGTCTCACCAGATGAGGTTTTAAAACTTTCCATCTTGAGGGGATACTGAATTAGGTCAATTCTAATGCCCATCCCAGGTTTCTGTTTTAATCAACTATGATGGTACTATGTGTCCTCTCATTATTTCTTTTACATTTGGAATCTTATAAAATTGTATTGCATAATTCTCTTCTCATGCAAAACTATCATCAATCTCTCTGCTCTCTTCAATTTTTACCAAAATATTTAAGTCATTACTTTTGATTGCTAATGTAATATTGGTATAGATGGAAAAAAAAAGAACAATAAAATAAAACAAAACAAACTTTCCATCTGAGCACTTTGGGGCTTCAGAACTACAGATAAAGGATCATGGATCTTCATGATTCGGATGTCGGCACACATCAGGAACACTAAATGGAGAGAAACCTCAATGCTGAAGCAATCCTTGAGATGGGTGCTCAAAAACAAACAGGATTTGGGATCCCCAGCTGGTATGCAGTTTCAAAAGTCTGGAGGAGCCTTTTGAAATTGGGAGATATGGACCCAATGTTCAAGGCCCTAAAGGTTGGCTGCCATCTGGGAATCAAGGAGGACCCAGTACGGTCCCTTCCAATGTGGGTAAGGGCAGCCTTTGCTGTTAGTGATTCCAACTCAAGAAGGCTGGGAAAATACTGGAAATGTTAGTTTGAAGAGTCATAGACAGATATTTGAGGAAACTAGAAGAATTCAGGACCCAGTCCAGTTTATAGGTAGATAACAAAGCCACAAAGACGATGAACAGGAATAGAATCTGGCCACTTAAGCTATGGCCAATCAAATAATTTCCTAGCTTTGCTTCTGCTTCTTCTCTATACTAAAGTCTCCCCCCAGCTCCTGACGGTGAAGTGCTGCTAACCACTTCTAATTTGGTACTGCCAGATTCAAATCAATTTTCGCTCAAAGAAACTCTTTAAAAAAAAAAAGACAAACTGATATTTCAGGTGAAAATGATTTCCTAGAAAATGCAATAACATTTAAACAAATTCTCTGCCATGTTGTAAGAAGGGTCAACACACTAGTGGACAAGTCCAGGGAGAGTTTGGGCAGGGTCTAGAGAAAAGCCTGGAGAGTCAGATTCATGGAACCTGACTAACATGCGAAGTAGGATAACTTTATCCTGTACACCAGGGGATTCTTTGTATCAGTAAAAAATGTGGCAGGTACACCCTTCATACTTATTTATTTTACATTTACTATGTTAATGTATTATTTATATTAAAATATCACAAAAGTGAAGTTCAAAAGGATAAAATTCAAAGTTCTGTTTTCTTCCCATATCCTTAAATTAAGGACACTATTGCTGTCCTTAATGAAGGGGCATGATCAAATCTAGGGGTCAGAGATATTTGAGGTAGCAGTTAAAGGATGTGTCTTGGGGTGCCTGGGTGGTGCAGTCAGTTGAGCATCTGACTCAGTGGTTTCAGCTCAGGTTGTGATCTCAGGGTTGTGGGATCGAGCCCCGTGTCTGGTTCTGTGCTTAGCGTCGAGTCTGCTTAAGATTCTATCTCCCTTTCCTTCTGCCCCTCCCCTCCCGCTCGTGCACACAAGTGCGCGTGCTCTCTGTCTCTAAAAACAAATAAATAAATCCTTAAAAAAATGTGTCTTAAAAATGAATAAAGGTGTCCCTTAGTCAAAAAGTTGGGGAAATGCTGAAAAAAACAAGTCAAATGGATCCTGTGCCTCAGGACTTCCAGAGCCTTCCCTATGCCCATTTCTAGAGGGGGTGAGTTCTGAGGTGTTCCCCATTCCTATTTGACCACAGAACCCCCTTTGGAAGGAACAGGAGACAAGGATCCCACAGAACACAGTGTGGAGAAAGCT